GGGGGCGGCCTCTCTGCGTGAGCGCGCTTGTCCTCTGAGCCAGTTTGGGGGGGGTCATCGCCGCCGTGTTGAAACGGTAGTGATTTCTTTGTCTGGCAAGAGTGTTCCGTGCCCTGGTTACCGGGAGAAAAATTAGAGGGGCGGAAACACTGAAACACTGACGTTTTAACAGTGTTACATTGTAGTTCTCTGGCTGTGGAGGTCGAAGAACTCAGAAGACACTCCTCGTTCAGTCGAAAATTGTACGCCATTCGTTTTCTTAAGTCCTGTTTGAGGTCTCCTGTGAATTTACCGATTCGGTAAAGTGTTTTGTTTTGTTTTGTTTTAGTCTTAAAGGATCATGCTTTAAATCTCTATAACAAAATAATTGTTTGTACTAACTTCTACCCCCAACTCCAAAAAAAAAAAAGAAAGAAAAAAAAGGAACCAATCGGCTCTTCAGAAAACGAGAATACTTAACCCTTTGTTTTGCCTTACATGTGATTTAAAATTCTTTTCTTAGTCTTCCAGCAGGACATCGCTGTGATGGATAGTCTGCGTTTTTGTCTTTCAGCTTATTGTGAAGATGAGGGGGAGCTCCCTAGTTGAACAGACTGTTTGAGGAAGACGACTGCTTTTGTACGGATAGTATTTATTACCTTTCAGTGATTGGGTCAGAAGATGAATCCGACTAATCCTTTCAGTGGGCAGCAGCCTAGTGGTTTTCCAACATCTTCCAGTAGTTCCATAGGAACATTTCAGACTAAGCCACCATTTCGGTTTGGACAGCCCTCTCTTTTTGGACAAAACAATACGTTGTCTGGGAAAAGCTCAGGATTTTCACAGGTGTCCAGCTTCCCAGCATCTTCTGGACAAAGTCATTCTTCGGCGCAAACATTAGGGTTCTCCCAAACCTCATCCGTTGGGCTATTTTCTGGACTTGAACACACTCCGGCCTTTGTAGCTGCTTCCGGGCCTTCAAGTTCATGTGTGTCTGGAAACCCAGGATTTAGTTTTAAATCCCCCAACCTTGGGGCATTCCCAAGTACTTCTGCTTTTGGACCAGAAACTGGAGAAGTAGCAAGCTCTGGTTTTGGGAAAACAGAATTTAGCTTCAAACCTCTGGAAAGTTCAGTGTTCAGACCAATATTGGGGGCCGAGTCTGAGCCAGAGAAAACTCAGAGCCAAATTACTTCTGGATTTTTTACGTTTTCCCACCCAGTCAGTGGTGGACCTGGCGGACTGGCCCAGTTTTCTTTTTCTCAGGTGACAAGTAGTTCGGCCACCAATTCAAATTTTACCTTTTCAAAATCAGGTAATAATAATTCACCATCTGCCTTTACCCCCGCTTTGTCAAATCAAAATGTTGAGGAGGAGAAGAGAGGCCCCAGATCACTATTTGGAAGTTCCAGTAGCAGCTTCACTAGCTTCCCCGTATCTTCTTCAGGGTCCTTGGGTGAACCCTTCCCCAAAACAGGTGTCAGGCAAGGATGCGAAGAAGCTGTTTCCCAAATGGAGCCACTTCCCAGCCTCATGAAAGGACTGAAGAGGAAGGAGGACCAGGACAGGTCCCCAAGGAGGCACGGTCATGATGCAGCAGAAGATTTGGACCCTTTGTCGAGGGATGATCACCCTCCAGATAAACGACCTGTTCGCTTGAATCGACCCCGGGCAAGCACTTTGTTTGGTCGGACGATACAGGATGTCTTCAAGAGTAATAAAGAAGTAGGTCGTCTGGGAAGCAAGGAATCTAAAAAAGAAATTGGCTGTGCTGAGTCTGGGGAAAATGATCACGTGGCCATCCCAGGAGGGAGTCAGTCTGTCCTGGCAACTTCCCGGCTTCCAGGTGTGAATAAAGAGGAAGAAACTGAAGGCAGAGATAAAAAAGAAGGTGAGCTCTGCAGACGTGCAATGTGCAGTGAACCCTGCTGACAGGTTCTGGTAAAATTTCCCTGGGTGTGTGTCTGAACTTCCTGGTCAACCCCTAGTAAACGTTGGGGCCCATAGGATCTCGGCGCAGGTCTTACAGCCATGAAAATTTCGTTTGCTCACTTAGTTGGTGTCTCCTGTTGCTTGAAAATGTCACATCTGATACATTTTTGTGCCCATTCTCGAATTCCCTAGATTCTCTGAGAGGAACACCTGGCCGTCAGAGTAAAAGAAGTGAGAGCACAGACAGCCTTAGGGGCGTGTCTCCCGCTGAGGTCACGGCAATCCAGTGCAAGAACATCCCTGACTACCTCAATGACAGAACCACTCTGGAGAACCACTTTGGCAAAATTGCCAAAGTCCAACGCATCTACACCAAGCGCAGCAAAAAGCTTGCAGTGGTGTATTTTTTTGATCATGTGAGTACTCTAATGAAGTTCATGAGTGAAAAACATAGGTTTCAAAGTGGCAGAGTTAGGGTGAAATTTGCCACTTTAAAACCTACTTTAAAAAAAATCTATCAGTTATTTGCTTGCTAGAATGTAAAAAAGCACTCTTAACTTGAAGAGGCTGGAACAGCACTGCTTATTTCATAACTGGGAGTCATTTGTGGAAAGCTTGCAGTCCCCACTAAACACAGTGTTCTGGAAATGCCGGGTGAGCGAGTCCCATGAAGTCAGTTTCCTCAAGCATACGGGAGTGGCTCTGTAACCACACAGCACTTTTTCAAACTTGAGTTTGCTTGCTTTGCTTTTGATTTTATTTGTTTGGTTGTAGTACATCTTGCTCACTGTAAACATCCAAAACAATGCAGAAAAGTAAAATCCCCTATAATCTCATGCTCTAACTGTTCGGCGTATCCCCGACTTAAATACCTGCATCTGCGTGTGTGTACGTGACACGTTGGCTGCAGGGTGTGCGTGTACAGGGGCTGCTCACCTTGTGTCCTGTACACCTTTGTTATATTTCTGAATGTTCTTGTGGGGAAAATTGAGTTCATTTGGAATTTATAAAGTAGGAAGTATGTTTTCATACTTTCTAAAATAATAGAAGTATTACCTTTCGACATAGGGGAAGAAAACCCCAGAAAGTCCTGTGGGAGGGGGCACAAAATCTCCTATGGTTCTGCAGTGGATGACAAAATACTTGTTCTTTTGTGTCTGATTAATTTTATGTCTCTGAGGTTCATCCACGCGGTTGTGCTGCATTCCTTTATTCTGTTGTACGGATGGACCACATTTTGTTTATTCATCTGTCCAGGGACGTGGGTTGTTTCCACCTTTTGGATATTATGAATAATACTGCCATTGTGAATATGGTGTGCAGATGTCTCTTCAACACCCTGCTTGAATTCGGTTCTGTTGGGTATTTACTTAGGAGTGTAATTGCCGGGTCATACAACAATCCTGTTTTTTGTTTTTTTGTTTTTTTAGTTATTTTCTGACTGTCACAATGTGCTCATTCTTCAGTTGAACCCTAAAAATATAGAAAAATACGTACTATATAAATACATTGTCGTTGTAGTTAGTTCATTGATACCTGCAAAGTTAGGTCCCCTCCTCACCCCATCTCTCCTGTTTCGGCAAGCACAGTTACCCGGTGTGGTATATGTTTTTCTGGACGTTTCGTAGGTACAGCTGTAGGTATACTAACGTGTAGTTGGTTTTGTGTTTGTATATTTTATGGTAAGTTGTACCCCGTGTGTGTCATTTTGCGGCTTCCTTTTGTGTTAAGTGTGACTTGGCAGTCTTTCCATTGTTGCACAGGTAATCAGATGGTGAGAACCATCTCACCAAATGCCTATGAGGCCAAGCTTATGGGGTCCAGCGCAGTGAAGTCATTAATTTTAAAAAGGAGAAGGGCAAATACATGCTTGTGAGACAGGTCAGGGAGGTGAGGACTGTGGCTGCTGTGGCTAGAGGCAGACGGTGGGGTGGGAACGGGGTGGGAACGTGTGGCCGGCAGAGGCACAGCCCTGTTGCACAGAATTCTGCTAATTGCGTTTGACAGTTTAATCTCATTTCCACTGGCCTCCTGATGTCCTCATACTTTGTGTTGTGGACTCTTTTCCAGGCATCTGCAGCCCTCGCTAGGAAGAAGGGGAAAGGTTTGCATAAAGACATGGCTATATTTTGGCACAGAAAAAAAATAAGTGAGTTTTCAGTTGTTCTTTGCACAGTCTCGAATGCTCTGTGTGCAAGGCCTTTAAGCTTGGAGTCTGAGCCCTTTCCTCAGTGCTGGGTGGGGTGCTGTCTCACAGGGTTTCCTTGGGCTCCTTTTACCTTCCTGTAACAATTATCATAATACTTTCTGAGGAAGAAGTTAAAAAGCCCAGTGACTTGTGGTATCATAAACTCTGTTCTGACTGTTGTGTCCTCAGGTCCCAACAAGAAACCCTTTTCCCTCAAGGAGAAGCAGCCCGGCGAGGGTGGAGCTGCCCCGAGCATGGAGGACTTGCCCTTTCAGCACTCCCCTCTGGGCAAGACCGCTGGCCTCCTGAGTAAAAGGTGCGGCTGCTCCTTCCCGGTGCCTGTGGTTCTTGGACTTCTGCTATCACTGACCTAGAGGGCTTCACAGCTGTCCTGGCGGGGCAGGAAAGCGGGTGGGGGATGTGCTGGCCCCCGAGTGGGGGCTGAGGGGTGGGGGGACGCCCTGGGGGAGGCCAAGAGGGAGATGCGCCATGAAGAGGCCGTGGGCTCTGCACTGTCCCCCTCAGCCCCACGGCCCGTCAGTTGCTGTCCTACAGTTCCGTCTGATGGACAAACAGGCAGCAGCTTTCCCCTAGAGCATCGGACTGACCGTAAGACCTGCGTGTCCCCAGTGGCCACTTCTAGCACTGTGGTGTGACTTCCCGTAGGCCCGGCTCACCCCTCCCTGCGCTGCAACTGCACAGCCCTCAGGCGGGTCTGATGTTGTGTACGCCTCACAGGCCCTTGGTGTCCGAATGGGAGTCCTTGCTCCCAGCAGCCTCTTGCCCCTCCTGCCCTCCCCTTGGCTTCTGGCCTGAGGCTCCTGAGTGACCCCCACCTTAGTCCCACAGCAGGCCTGCTTCTGTTTAATCCTTCGCATGGTTTGGCCCGTGTATAGTTTCCCTCACTTTCGTTTTGTAGCTAACAGTTTAGTTGCTGATTTGCTTTTGCTTTTTCCTTTCTTTACATCTTCTTCAACGCTCAAGTCCACAGTGTTGAAAGCCAGCTAGAAAAGGGGAAGCTGAGAGAGGATGCCCAGTTCTCTCTAGTGCACCCTGCCCCTAGGTGGCGCTGTGTGTGAAAACGTGCAGGCGTGGTCTTTCCTCATGTGCTAAAATGGTGTATTTTCAGTCTTAGTTTCATTTCTTTCAGAAGTCTGCAGATAATTCATTTCAGCTGTTTAAGTGGGCGCATCTCACTTTTAAAGAGTATGGAGTCGTTCAGGGTTTTTACATCACAGTGAATAACGGAGCCTTTGTGCTCACCACCAGCGCTCCGGACGTTCATCTCTGGGCGTGCAGCTTGCCAGCTAGAGCCGCATAGCGTCTTAAACAAGGAAGGGCGTGTTGGGTGTGGAGGTGATACCCGTGCCTGGCGGGTGCGCGGCCCTCAGTGTGTCGTCCTCTCCGCAGCTCCCCGGTGAAGAAGCCGAGCCTCCTGAAGGTCCATCAGTTTGAGGGAGACCCTTTCGACTTGGGCTCCGAGGGCTCCGAGGGTCTCGGGCCGTGTGTGCCATCCCTCAGTGCCCTGATAGGTACCGTGGCTGAGACATCCGAGGAGAAGTACCGCCTGTTGGACCAGAGGGACAGAATCATGAGGCAAGGTATGGGTGCGGCAGAGGGGGTCTTCCCGGGAGCCATGCTCCCGTCTGCGGGGCTCTGCTGTCACTGGGTCTCTGGGCCTGTGATGCTCACACACGATCTCTTGCTCACTGGTCTCCCGAGGGGGTGAGTGTAGACGTGTACACAATGCAGAAATGCTTATAATTTCGTCTTATTTTTGGAAGAAAGTTGATAAGCCATTGATCCTTGCTAAATCAAAATAATTTGAAGGGTAATTTTTAGACATTGAGAAAGCACACATAGAAAAGATAAAAATTTTCCATTTAACAGAAATCACCTACAAAATAAACTATGAAAGATGTCAATCCAGGGGAAGGTCTTGAACTCATCACACACAAAGGGCTGATTTCCCAGATATAGAAAGTACTGTAGAGTCAGTGTGAAAAAGACCAAATCCAGTCGAAAAATGAGCAAGAGGTCTGAGAAGGAAGTCTCAGGAGTTGGCTCTTAAGTGTGTGGAAAGTGTCCCTGTCACACGGTGGGAGAGGCAGATCACACCCCGGGCGGTGGCGTGTCCCCGGCGGCCAGGTGCTGGCCGTGGGCGGGCTGTTCCAGAGGACGCAGGTTGGCAGTATCTCTCAGGCTCTGAGGACTCATGCCTTTGACCAGCATTCCCTGTAGGAGTGTTTCCCACAAGCATTCCCCATGTGAGTGTAGTTCACTTGCAAGGTGGTTTGTGATGACAAAGATTGGAAACGGTCCACACAAAGGGATTCTAAACAGAAAGAAGACTGGGGTTTCTTTATGAAAATGGTCAATATTTATTGTGAAGTGGGAAAAGCAAGTGTTGGAAGTGCCTACCAGTCGTGTACGGAAAGGGGGGAGGTGTGCGTGTGCCCATATATATGTGAGTGAGCCTGCATGAAGGTCAGGACATGCGGAAGGGTTGCTCGTGGTGATGGGGCAGAGGAGGCAGGTGGGGGGCCATCTTGCACATTTTTGTACCTTTGGCACATTGAACCGTGTGGATGTATTTAAAACCTATTCAAAGGGTAGGCACCCTATTAACAGTGGATACTATGTGCAGCGACCAAAAATAAAAGGGGACAGCACACGTGCTCTTCTCTGCAAAGTGTTTTTAGAATTAAATTTTACCTTTAGGATTTTCTTCTTTGTAGAAGCTTGGATAAGTGGAATAATCACAGTGCCTCCTTAACACAGTAATAAAACCTGAAAATAATAAGAATAATACGTTATGGCGTTGACATGGTGATTTTCATATTCCAGAAATAAAATTATTACTAGATACCGGAATTTAAAAAAAAGTAAGATGTGAATGTGTTGAATTGTGAGGTCATTGCATTCCATTTCATTTAAGATACTCTTACAACTATTTCATTCTGTGGGTATTAATAGTGGTTTATTCAGGTCAGGACCCAGGTAACTTCCATTATGTGATTCCTGTTGTATTAAAAACGTGATGAAATACTGGCATGTTTAGAATACTGGCGTTTACCAAATGGACCCTGTTAGAGTACACCACAGCAAGTGTGTGAGCCCTGAGGCGGCGCTGGGGGCAGCAGACGCCCACGTGGGCCCCTCTGCCAGTGCCGGGAGGGCAGGCCGTGAGGATCTTCGTGACCTTGGTGTCCTGTCGCCCGGTGTGATAGGCTGTGCTTTCCTTTCTCTAAAGCCTGGTTTTTTTTTTAACGTTTTCTTTCCTTTCTTTTGTAGTTTGTGTGGTGTTTATTTTTATTTTTCCTTTTATCATCATGGAAATGCACCGCTCTGGCGTCCTCATAACTGTGTGGTGCAGTCTTACTTTTTACTTGATGTTGTTCAGCACGAGTGAAAAGAACCGACCTGGATAAAGCGAGGACTTTTGTTGGGACGTGCCCGGATATGTGTCCTGAGAAGGAGCGGTACATGCGAGAGACCCGGAGCCAGCTGAGCATGTTTGAAGTGGTCCCCGGGACTGACCAGGTGGAGTCCCGCGTCCCCGGGGGCCCCTCTCCAGGCTGCTGTCCCCGTTGGGTCTTCAGGGTGGAGGTGGGATGCGCTGGGGACGGAAGGCTTGCTTTGTAATTTCTGTACACGTTGATCCTTGATTCGGGTGTTTCCTTCTCTGGGGGTGGTGCGGATGTGCTGTTAACAACCGTGTCACATTGTTCATGCTGTGAGGTGTGTGTGTGTGGCTGGACCACGTGGCTCCCTAAGGTGTAGAAGTAGACACAGATTTGTTTCATTAATTAAACTTTTTTTTACAGTTCTTTTTTCCTTTCAATTTTATCCCTATCCTTTTTTTATGTTTATGTTTTGTGCGCTTGAGACTATGCTCTAGAAGTGATCTGGTGTGACTCTTTTCTCTTAAGATTTTATTGTGAGCATTTTCTTTTGTTACGGTAAAGTCTTCATAAGCACTTAAAATTTTAAATGTAGGCATATGATTTGATTGCTTTGCTCTGTAAAGCTCCCCATTTTGCAGCCATTTGATAGGATGCTTCTAGTTTTTCAGTGTTGTGAATGGTTCTGTTGGGCATGCTGTGTGTGATGTGTCTGAGGTTCTGATGAACCTGAGGACGAAGAGCAGCAGCAGAGCTGCGACTTCCTTAAGGCTCCTGAGCGCGTCAGTGCGTGCGCCCAGATTGTTTCCCCAGAACTCTGCACTGTTTTAGGTTCTTTTGCTGTCTGTGAACTTGGCTTGTGTCTTCTTTCCTGGCCGGTGGTTTTACGGCTGCCTGACTCGGGGTCCCCAGCACTTGTCCCGGCAAAGGCCAGGGCTCCTGCCCCCGGAAACTGAAGACAGCTGGTGGATGCCCGGGGCCCAGACTTGCTTCTACCCTCAGACATGTCTTCAGCCTCTTTCTGCAGGTGGAAGGTGCAGCTCCCCCACGCCCTGCTGCGCCCTGCCCCGAGGCCCTTCTTACTCTTTATATCTGTGTAGACTTAATCTGGCGTTTGAACATGGCTGAGACTGTTTAAAATCTTTAGCATCCTCTGCCTGTCACACCTCTGTCCTTGGAGCCAAGCAGGTGTATCTTCACTTACATTCGTTCTGCTTTTTGATGTAACAGCCTCTTATCGTCACTTCTTGTCATGTTTGCCAAATACAAGTTCCTCAGTTTGTTTTATTTTTGAATTTTGTCACCTCCAAAGAGAAATTTTACGTTTTAAACTTGTATTCTGCAGTACTGACTAAATTGGAGTGTGTGAGATTTCCCCCCTCATTTTAGGGCACAGTGGCTGGGAGACTGGCCCAGCACCTGCCAACTAGCGGCTTGTCCCTATTTGTGCCCTCAGGTGGACCATGCAGCGGCCGTGAAGGAGTACAGCCGCTCCTCGGCCGACCAGGAGGAGCCGCTGCCGCACGAGCTGCGTCCCTCCGCAGTGCTCAGCAGGACCATGGACTACCTGGTGACCCAGATCATGGACCAGAAGGAGGGCAGCCTGCGGGACTGGTACGACTTCGTGTGGAACCGCACACGGGGCGTACGGAAGGTACCGGCCACTTCCGAGAGGGAGCTGGAAAACACGTGATTCCAGAGTGAGGGCGAGAGTTCTTGTTTCTTTACTCAGTTACGTTTCATCTGTAAGCAGAAATACGCTATTATTTAAAAACAGTACAAAGCCCTGTTAAAATGTGCTTCAGGGGCTTTGCTTCAATTTAAAATCTGAGAAATTCAGGTACTAAGCATGATTTTTCTAATAATTGATTCTTACAATGGGAATATGTTCATGAGATCTGTGTGTATACGATGTATACAAGGTTTGTGTGTGTGTGTGTGTGTGTGAACGCGTGCATGCAGGGCTGCCTGCGTGCGTGTGAACCGTGTGCATGTGTAACGCTCCGCCCCGCTGTGCCCAGGACATCACGCAGCAGCACCTGTGTGACCCGGTGACTGTGTCCCTGATTGAGAAGTGCACCCGGTTTCACATCCACTGCGCTCACTTCATGTGTGAGGAGCCCATGTCCTCCTTCGATGCCAAGATCAACAATGAGAACATGACCAAGTGCCTGCAGAGTCTGAAGGAGATGTATCAGGACCTGAGGAACAGGGGCGTCTTGTGTGCTCGCGAAGCAGAGTTCCAGGGCTACAACGTTCTGCTCAGTCTCAACAAGGGGGACATCCTCAGGTGAACCACCAGACGCAGGAGCTCGCCTGGGCTGTGGGGAAGGGCAGGCTCTCACGGGGGAAGCGCTGCCAGGACGAGTGGTGCCGGTCGCATGCTTTCTCTGGTGTCCAGCGCTAGGACGTCAGTGGGAAGGCTGGGCAGTCCCTTGAGCTGAGTCACCAGGGGTGGAAGGGTCGGGGTGTGCGCCATCCCAGAGGGGACCCCAGGCACTGCCGTAGAGCCCTCCCTCCTGTCAGCAGGAGAAAGTGAGGCGGAATTGGCTCAGTGGGAAGAGCAGGCGAGGGGAGCAGGGCAGGAGCGCTGAGCGTCCCTGTCAGAGCTGCTGGTGTGCACACACCTCGGCAAAGATCTGAGCGGTAGGAGGAGAAAACTGGGGGAGAAGTGCTCAGCGTGGTTAAGAATGAATTTAGACCTTGCTCTGATATGTCCTTAGGCATTCATAGGAGAAATACGTCCGAGTCCCCTGGGCCCCTGTTCCTGGTTTGGGGAAACTGATTCCCTATTTGTGCCGAAACTCTTTCCACTTGGCATTTTCTCTGAGAACCTGGCTGCAGAATATCTAGATGTGGGATTGATTTTAAGTTTTAAAATTAAGCCTCAGAGATAAACTAGTTATGGAAAAAAGGCTTTGTAGTCTTCATATGTGATAGGCATTTGTCCCCTTTCTTGAAAAATTCAGTCGAATCAGTTTATTTTTAAACAAAACAAAGCTAAACTCTCTCTTAAATGTTGTCATTAAACACAGCTGGCAGGCAGTTGGCACTGAAGTAGCTCTTCGATCATCAGTTCTTAAAGTGTTGCTTAAATTTGTTTACTTTATGCATCATCACTTCAAAGAAAGCCTTTTACCGATCCAGCCCAAGGCTGGTGGCTTTGACGTTCGTGAACCGTGAAGGTATTGGCACACGTGACCATCTCAGTGAGGCTGAAATCTGTTTTATTATTAGATCTATTTTCATGGAAATTGTGTCTAATTAAGATGAATTTTTAACTCCTGTCATCTCCTTTAATTAACAGAGAAGTGCAGCAGTTCCATCCTGCCGTCAGAAACTCCTCTGAGGTGAAATTCGCTGTTCAGGCTTTCGCTGCGTTGAGCAGTAATAACTTTGTGCGGTTTTTCAAGCTGGTCCAGTCAGCATCTTACCTGAACGCGTGTCTCTTACACTGCTACTTTAATCAGGTGAGTTCTGTTGCTGTTGCTGTAGAAGGGAAGATCGCAGGTTGCTCTTCAGACCTGGGACTGGAGCGTCTCCGCAGGTCCTGGCCTAAGTCTTTGCAGCGGCCCTGAGTGGATTCTGGTGGCACCCCGTTCACAGGGTTGGCGCTGCCGATCACCAGTGGACGAGACTATCCAATGGAAAATACTGTTCTCATGGTTCAAACGAGAAATTTCTTTAGAATGACCTAACTTGAGTTCAGTGCTGTCATCTGACGTGGAGACAAAGAAACCGAAAAGCAGCCGTTGCAGCACAAACACCTGAGCTAAGCTCCTTAGTGATGATCAGCCTTAGCACTTGGAGCAAGCCTGGCGGGCGCAGAGTTCATGTCAACAGATGTCTGAAGCGGCTGCTTGTTGTTGCCTGCTGTGCTGCGCACGGGGGTTGCAAAGACGGGAAGACTCGTCTCTCACCTGGGCTCAGACTTCCAGTCGGGCTCCTGGGGACGATAACAAGGCAGCCCCCAGGCCCGCCTCACAGCATGCCTGGTTCTGCCGCCGTAGCTGCGGGGGTGCAGGGCTGCCACCTGGAGTCCTCTCTGGGAGCCCCTGGGGGCCCCTGGGTGGGGAGGGCCTGCCTGGGAGACCTCAGGAGCCCGCCTGGGGCTGCTGTTGTGACTCCGGGTCGTCTTCCTTCTTCGGCCACAAGTCCTCCAGTGAACGGTGACTAGAGCACCAGCACTCCGCAGGCAGAGACTCTCTGCCTGTTGCTCATTGTCAGACCTGACCGTTTCCAGCAGGACTGAAATTCTGGAACAAACGATGTGCCACGAGGGCATTCTGTAAAGTTGATACATACAGCTGATGGTTCATATTTTTACAATGATTACTTAACGTTACTGGAATGTTGACCATTTGTGCCCATCTTAATAATTAAACTGAAGAGAAATTTAAGTGTTTTTTCTTTAGAAAAGCAAAGCATTTCATAGCAGTGGCCCATGGGCCCAGTGTCTCCTGGACCTGCTATCCTGCTTCCTCTGTCCTCAGCTGCACCTGCAGTGACACCTTCCGCCCCTCTAGCCCCCGGTGCACTCCTGCCGCAGGACCTTTGCACTTGCTGTTCTTACTGCTGTTCTTTCTCCTGCAGAGCCGTGCAGTGCTGCACCCCTGGGCAGGACCGTCTTGGCCACCCAGCCTGTCAACGCCCTGCCCTCCTCCTGTGCTTCCCCTCTTATGCTGTCACTGTTAAACGCACTGCATTTGGTATATCCATCTTGTTCAGTGTTGGTCTCTCCAGACGTCAGCTCTGTAAACACAGGGACCTTGTCTGTTCACGGCTGTGCTCTCAGCACGAACAACGCCAGCCACGGAGTGAGCCCTGTGAGTGCTGGTTGGGTTGGTTACAGAGCACTGAAGAGGGGTCTCAAAAGTTACCGAGTCCTGGACCAGACCACTTGTCCGCTATTTTCATGTTTCCCGTCTAGTTTTAAAGCACTTATTATGAGGGTGAAGCAGCTTTGTCTCTGGCTTTTGTTAAGTTTCACTTTGCACACCATGCTGCCGTCCCCGTGGTGGTTTTAGCAGCTACACAGCTTTTCGTTGCGTGGATAACACACAGTGCTCTGCCCGGCCCTGCTTCTGGGTGGTTTGTTTCCTAGTTTTCTTATAAATAAAGCCTTCATGGCCCAGCCTTTTCTGTGTGTGAAACTTTGCTTCACATCATTCTGGCATATTCCACTGAGCAGACGGCCTGATGAGCACTCAACCTGGGACCCAAGTGGCTTCCTGGGGGCCTGAGCCACCGCAGGAGCTGGTCCCTGCACCGGCAGGTCTGTGGTCATGGGGCACTTGACCCATGAGACCGCAGCGACTTGGCTTCTCCTTTCAGATCCGCAAGGATGCGCTCCGGGCACTCAATGTCGCGTACACGGTGAGCACGCAGCGGTCCACCGTCTTCCCCCTGGACAGTGTGGTGCGTATGCTGCTCTTCAGGGACAGTGAAGAGGCCACGGACTTCCTCAACTGCCACGGCCTCACTGTTTCCGACGGGTAAGAGCCAAGGGTGGAACTGCTGAGCCGTCACCTTCTTTCCCTTTTCTGGTCAGGGCAGGGGAGCAGGGGAGCGCGCTAGCCGGCCTTTCACAAGCTGCTGAAGGACCTGACGGCAGAGGCTGGGGCCTTTCTCACTCCATCCCTTAGATGCCTCGCCGGCCGACCGGTGTCGGCAGGCCAGGCTGGGACTCTGCTGCGGTCAGGGCAGTCAGAGAACCTGGTGAGACTGGACACCCCCCTGCCCCCAGTGCCCCCAGGAAGTGGCCGCTTGTGTCCGGAGTGGGTTTTCTGGCCCGTCCCCCTCTCACTCCTTACCCCACCCTTGCCTGCTGCCTGCAGACCTGCTGTCGGGATGAGCCAGGAGCTCGCAGGCGAGTGTCACCCCTGCGGGGCTGCTTGCAGCTCGTCCAGGCGGCCCCAAGTCAAGGAGGTGGCGGGCTGGCAGAGTGGGTGCTGTGGGCCAGGCCGTGGGATCAGCCTTTGTTGTCCCCCTCGTTTCCATGTGGCCGTCTGGTGACACAGTGACTGTGGGCACCGAGAGGGTGGAGGCTGGCTTCTCACTGTGTGGCGCCTCTGTGTGGTTCTTTGTGGTCTCCGTAGCTGTGTCGAGCTGAACCGGTCCTCGTTCCTGGAACCAGAGGGCTTATCCAAGGCCAGGAAGTCGGTGTTCATCACCAGGAAGCTGATGGTGTCAGTTGGGGAAATTGTGAACGGAGGGCCATTGCCCCCCGTCCCTCGTCACACCCCCGTGTGCAGCTTCAATTCCCAGAACAAGTATGTTGGAGACAGCCTGGCCGCGGAGCTGCCCGCGGGCACTCAGAGACCTGGCATGGACGCAGTGGGTAAGTGAGGCTGCGGTTGGGAGGGGCCGGTCGTATGTCCCTCTGCTGCCCCTCGTGTGGGCTCGGGTGGACACCAGCTCTGTGCAGGAGCGGCCTGATGGCTCCCAGGGCCACAGGGCTTGGTTCCCACTGGTGGAGTGTACCCTGCGCTGTCACTCCCCAGGGGGTGCCCGTGGCGGTCTGCTCAGGGAGGGTGGCCTAGGGGGTCCTCACTGCCCATTTTGGCCTGTCTCCTTGCAGGTGGTGGGGGAGGAGAGGAGTGCGGTGCAGAGGCGGACGCACCCCGGCCGGCTCTCCCCCCGCAGCCTCTTCCCACGTCAACACCAGCACCTCTGCCTCACCTCCCGGCACTGGCCCCAGGTGCCGCGCCCAGCCTCTTCCAGGCCCCCGTGCAGCCGGAAATCCTGCCTGCGAAGCCTGGGCCTGGGTACTCCGATGCGGTAAGGAGCCTTCAGGCGGGGCTCTGAGGAGCCTGTTGCGCACGAACACCCCGCAGTGTCTGATGTCCGGTCTGACCATTGTCTGTGGACTGAACCCACCGAGCTGGTTGTGTGTGTGGCCCAGCATGGTGGATCACAGGACCCTGGCCCACAGGCCCAGGCCTCTGCCTCTCAGACGAGGAGCCTGAGGCAGGTCCCCTGTTCTGAAGGGCTGTGGTAAAGCTTTGGAGGATAAACCAAAGGGTTTTCATCGACCTGATGCTATTAAACCAGCACTGCCTTGTGCCGTGGGCTTCTGGAGCAGAGAGCTCTGTGCACGTGCCTGTCTCTGTGGACCCCTGTACACTCCTGTAGTGTGGGCTGTGTTGCTGGTCCATGGAGGGCCTTGCCCACAGTCACTTAGCCTCAAGTGGCAGAGCTGAGGCCACCCCACCAGGTTCACCAAAGAACCCTTGTCTTCATCGACGCCATCAGAGCAGTATCTCTTAAGTGCTCCCTGCCCCAGCGCCGTCCTGCGCCCCTTACGTGTCTGCCTTAAATGATGCTTGGGTGAGCTGGGAGACACATCGACTGGGGACATGTGAGATCACAGACAGCACTGCGTGCCCACTTGTGGGCACGTTCCTGGGGTCAGCATGCCCCTGACGGGTGGTCCTGGGGCCAAGCAGGGCCTGTTCACTACACAGGTCATGTGACTCAATCTCGCCACCCTGTTGCTTGGGCAGACACTGGACACCACCCCCCTGGGCGTCAAGGAGGCCTGAGGAGGAGAGTGAATCTGGACCACAGCAGCTGTGGATGTTGGATGTGGGGGTGGCACTGGGGCCGTCAAGCTGGCGTCCAGGCGGGACATTCCGTAGCGTCTCTGTGGCTCTGTGCCCTCGACTGCAGAGTCAGAGTGTTTGGCTGTAAGCTGAGTCTGGATTGAGTCAGTGTTTCTCATGGCCTGCGCTACTGACCCCATCTGACCTCTCCTTAGGACCTGGCCCAGGTGGTGGACGAGCTCATCCAGGAGGTTCTCCAGATGGACTGCGAGGAAGTTGGTGCCGCCGGGGCGGCCTTCGCAGCCACAGCCCTGGGGTAAGAGCTCTTGAGCGTCTACACTCTCGGGGGCCACTCTCTGCCTCTGGATGCTTCCTCCTAAAGCTGCGCTCAGTCTTCAACAGGAAGCTGCCGCTACCCACTGGCACAGGTGTACATGTTGGTCTTGCCGACTAGGTGGGTGGAAATCCCCAGGTTCTTGACCTCCTGACTGTCACTGGTGGGTAGTTTCTGTCTGTGTTTTTTGAGAAGCACTGGATTTATTAACGTTGTAAATTAAAAACCTATTTTTCTTTAAAGGTTAAATATGACTTAAAAATCTAGTAATGATTAGTTCATTCTGTTAAAAAATAAAAACCCTCACTTGATCTTGGATTAAATTTCACTTTATAAATTTGACAGATTAAATTCCTTGAAACATCTTATACCATTTGTATTTTGCACCATGATGAAATTTCCTTAGGCATTTCAATCTTCATTTATAAATTTTATATATCCGATTTTGTCTAATACTTCAAACATCTAGTCTTGTTAAATTTAATAATCAAAAATCTTTCCAAAATCAAGTAACTTTTGTAGTTAATAGTTAATTAAAATCTGGTAAATTTACTAAATCAGACTTTCCCTAAGGATTTCAAACGACTTTTAAAAATCCTAGTAGACGTAAAATGACACAAAGATATGGAAGGGCATTATTTCACCCATACAAATGTAGTTTATACAGAAGGCTTGATCTTGTTCATACTCTTGTTCATTTTTTTAATGCTAGAGATAGGTACATACTGTATGTGACGGAGCTAAAAATAAATAGGATTTTCATGGGCTTAATAATTTTTTTAAATCTGCGTAAGATATGTATAATAAAATTTACCATTTTAACCATTTTTAAGTGCACAACCCAACAGCATTACGCATGTTAACACAGTTGTGTCTTTCACCACTATTTCCGCGTCTGTTTCTGAGTGGCACCCTGTTAAACGTGTGCACACGCGTACGCATGTACACAGACCACGTTCCGTTTATTTGCCTGGGCTCGCGTTGTTTCCGCCACTCGGCTGTTGTGAGTAACACTGCTGTGGACGCTGGGGCACGGGTGGCCGAGTCCCTGCTTTCAGATCTCAAGGGCGTCTGCCTGGGAGTGGAGTTGCTGGATCATATTTTCTATTTAAAATTTGGGAGGAAAATCATCAGACTGTTTTCCATAGTGGCAGCACCATTTTTGCATCGCCACCAGCAGTACACAAGGTTCCAGTTTCTCTGCGTTCTTGCCAACACACGCTATACTTTTTTTCTTTTTTTAAATAGTAACCATCATAATGTGTGAAATAGTAGTGCACTGTAGTTTTAATTTGCATTTCTTTAATGACTGGTGATGTTGAGTGTCTTTTTATGTAATTACATTTGGGCCACTTGTGTATCTTTGCAGAAATGTCTGCTTAGGTCTTTTGCCCGTTTTTGAGTATTTTTGGTTGTTGAATTGCGGGGCGTTTTTTGCATTCTGGGCATTAGTCCCTTGTCAGACACATGATTTGCAGTTTTTCTTCCCATTTTGTGGGTTGTCTTTTCACTCTCTGGATGGTGCTCTTTGATGAACAAAAGTTTTCAATTTTTATATAATCCAATTTATCTATTTTTTTCTTTTGTTGCCTGTGCTTTTTGTATTATAGTCAGGAAACCATTGCCAAATTCAGTGTTGCGGAGATTTTCCCTATTTTTTCCCTAAGAGTCTTATAATTTTAGCTCTTAAGTCTAGGTCTTTGATCCATTGTTACTGCATTTTTATGTATCGTGTAAGATAAGGATCCAGCATTTTCCTTTTGTGTAGGGGCATCCAGTTTTCCCAGCACCAACGCTGAAAAGACCGTTTTTCCCTTTTTGAACGTCCTTGGCACCCTGTTGGAAAGCACTTGACCATACGCATGAGGATTTCGGGGCTCTCTGTTCTATTCCTTTGATCTGCATGTCTGTTTTCATGTTAGTGCCACATTTTTCACTTGATCACTGTGGCTTTGTAGTAAGTTGTTACGGAGTTTTGAAATGACAAAGTGTGACTCCTTCAGCCTTGTTTCGACTTTGTTTCTCTTTTTCAAGACCGTTTCCCTACTTGGAGGCCCTTGAAGTTCCCTGGGAATTTTAGGATGGGTTTTTCTGTTTCTGCAAAAAGTTACGTCGGGGTTTTATTGGTGATTGCGTTGCATCTGTAGATTGCTTTGGGTAGTGCTGACATCTTAACAGTGTTAAGTCTTTCAATCCATGAACACGGATGTCTTTTCATTTGCTTATGTCTTCCTTAACTTCTTTCAGTGGTGTTTTATAATTTTCATTGTACAAGTCTTTCATTTCCTTAGTAAAATTTATTCCTAATTATTTTATTCTTTTTGTTGCTTTTGTAAATGACATTTTTTCTCAGTTTCACTTTCAGAACATTTGTTGCTAGCATACAGAAATGGCATTGAGTTTTGTGTATTGATCCAACATAGCTGAATTTTTTTTTATAATAGGTTTTGAGTGTATTCCTTCGGATTTTCTATATATGAGCATGTCATCTGTGAATACACATAGTTTTCTTCTTCCTCGCCAGTCTGGATGTTTTTTATTTTTTCTGTCGAATTGCTCTGGCTATAATTTTCAATATGGTGTTGAATAGAAATGGCGAGTAGGGCGCTCTGCCTTGTTCCTGGTCTTAGAGGGAAAGCTTCCTGGCTTCCACCGCGGAAGGCGGTGTTGGCTGTGGATGTGTCATGTATGGTCTTCATCATTTTGAGGAAATGCCCCTCTTTTTCTAATTATGGAGTGCTTCTGTCATGAAATGGTGTTGAGTTTGTCAGGTGCTCTTCATTAATGGAGGTGATCATTTTATTAATGTGATTGTATTATAGCCATTTTCACTTGTTGAACCACTGTTGCATTCCATGGATGAATACCACTTCGTCGTGTTGTATAATCCTTTAAATATAATTGCTTAATTTTGGTTTGTTAGTGTTTTGTTGAAGATTCTTACTTCAGTATCCATAAGGGATACTGGTGTGTAGTTTTCTTGTGGTGTTTGTGTCTGGCTTTGGTATCGGGCCAAGGAATGCTGGCCTTGCAGATTCGTTAGGAAGTGTTCCTTGTTCCTCGTTTTTAAGAAAAGTTTGAGAAGGACTGGTGTTATTCTTGAAGTGTGTGGTAGAATGTGGTCTTTTCTTTGCTGGGAAGGGTTTTAACACCCAAACTCTACTAATCGTGGGTCTGTTCAGATTTTGTTTCTTTCCGAGTCATTTTTGATAGACTGTGTGTAACTATGTGCTTGATTTTTATATTAAAAGCCTAATAAGTGCTTTTTTCCTTGCTGGTGTCAGAGGTTTAGTGATACGATTTGCTTAGCTTTTATTTATTCTAAAATTCAGAACAATATCCATTTGCTCCATTAGGGTTGCCAGTGCTGCTATGGAGGAGCTGTTAACAGCTGCAACCACGGGCATTTTGAGGCACGTTGCAACCGAAGAAGTGACCAAGGAACGGGAGCGGAAGGAGGAGGAGAGGCGGCGGGCCGAAGAGGAGAGGTGAGTGCGTTGTGCCTGCGCGGCACACAGGGCTCGGGGTGTGGACGTGGGGGAGCCCGCCCTAGCTTGGCCACTCCCGCCTGCTCCCCTGCGCTGGGGTCAGGCCTGTGCTCAGCCCGCGCCTCAGGCACTGTGGCCGCGGGAGCTGGAGCGGGGTGGCCGTGTGGCCGTGTGGCACGCCCAGGGGGTCAGGCCTGCCACTCTGGCGGCACAGCGCAGACCCCGCGTGCGAGCTCCCAGAGTGTGCAGCACTCAGCTCTCCTGCCCTTTTCATCCTGCCCTTAGGCTGAAACAAGAGAGGGAACTGCTGTTGACTGAGCTGGGCCAGGGCCTGGCCGCAGAGCTGACGGAACTCGTGGTGACGGAGTGTGTGAGGGAGACCTGCACCCAGGAGTTGAAGTGAGCGCAGCGCCGGTCTGGGCTGGAGGGAACGGGAGGGCTGTCGAAGCGCGGTCTTGACAAGAGCGTATCTTCTGCTTTTCCAAACACTGAAATGCGGTCCCTGCTTCCAGAGAGGGCCCCTCTTTCCCGCTCATCCTCCCATGGACCCTGCCCGGGGCGTGAGGACGTGTCTGTTAGTGGGAGAACGCGCTGGTGGTCTTGTCCACTCAGGTTGCTGGCTGTTGGTATTTCTCAAGTAGAAGATCCTTTCACTTATTCTGAACGTCAGAAGATTTGCTTGTATCATCTCACTTAAGACATCATTAGTTTCAGTGCCAGGCTTCAGGGAAGAAGCAAGTTCGGCTGTGCTGGGAGATCTGTCCTTGGGCTTAAGCTCCCCTGAGAGCCCTGCCGCCTGTGGTGCGGGTGGGGAACACAGGAGGCGGGCGTGCTGTTGAATTAGTTTCTTTCCATTTCCATTAACTGGGAGTCTAAGCGAGAGACCTCACAGTGATGGGTATTTGTTCTTAATCCTGGGGAGAGGCATTAGGAGATGAGTAAGACCCAGGACTCACTGACATGCAGGGAACCCCAGGGCTGTCCCACCCACCACAGCGGATGGCTGTTGGAAGTGGGTCTTGCCTGTTCAAGTGTCTTTAATTTTGGATATCTATCTACCTACCTATCTATCCATCCATCCATCCGTCTGTCCATCTCTATTTTTTCAGTGGGGCGACTGGGGATTGAACCCAGGACCTCGTGCATGCTCAGCACACGCTCCACCACTGAGCTGTGCCCCCTGTGCCTAAACATCCTGGGTAAAGGCCTCTGTGCTCCCTTGGCGGATAGGACTCTCAGACGCTGGTTTACCTGCCGACCGCTGTAACATGACCTTAGTCTGTCCGCCTCAGCGGTTGCCCCATGAAGTGCTGGAGACTCATCTAACTGCAAACGTCAGATGTTGCCGACGAGAAGATACTTCATTATCTTAATGGTTATTTAAAAATTAGAATTTCTAACTACTTTTTTAAGGTAAACGTTTGCTTCTTGCCTATTTATAAGGGCCCTACTGGAGCTGTAACCTGGCATCCTGTGCCATTTAGTTCTTTTTCCTCTGTCTTGCCAGATGTCTGTGCATTATATAAAGTGAAAATCTTAAAGCTTTTCTTGCAGCAAAGACATCGTTACATTTCAGTATTAAGGACGTGGACTCCTGCACTCCTGAGGCAAGCCCTCGGCTTGGGGTCTTGGGTACAGCATCTCCCATGCACTTGCTCTCTTCCCTAGGAGCGCGGTGGAGACAGACCAGAGAGTCCGCATGGCCCGCTGCTGTGAGGATGTCTGTGCCAGCCTGGTGGGCTTGTTTCTCGGGGAGGAAATTTTCCAGACTGCAAAAGAGACCCTCCAGGAACTTCAGTGCTTCTGCAAGTATCTCCAGCGGTGAGCGCCATGTCCTTACGGATGAACTCAGTGTACACGAGGAGAATCTTTTACAAAGATTATACTTTCAGAAACAGTTAATCATCCACACATAACAGGTTCCTTCCTGAAGGGTATAAACTAGGGATAAATGAGGAATTAGACTGGGAAGGGGGCGGGTCTGTGTTTCAACAGATACTCATAGGCAGCTTTCTGTTGTTTACCCTGTGTGCTGACGCAGGGAGATGGCTGTGAACAAGCCAGCTTACGTCTGCACACACGCATGTGGATGAATTTCAGAAACATAATGTGTGATGCCAAGCAGCAGTTCTTTGGGAAATATGTGCAACAGACAGTGAATGTCACACTCAGTAGGCTCTTTTGGATTTGTGTACAGTAGTCTGACCCTCAAGGAAGGACGGAGAACAGTGACATGAACCCAGCGTAACGGTTTCCTGTGGGGCGAGAGGGCACGTGACTGACCGGGGCTGTGGGCGGCAAGCGCTGGTCTGGCCACCGCTCCTCAGCTGGACAGGAAGGTGTGGGTGTTCGCTTTGTCGTGAATCTTTAAGATGGGTGCACGTGTGTTATGTATGTTGTGATTAATTTCACAATAACGTTTAAAATAAGGAGCAGTGCACTTGGCAGCTGCAACTGTATACAAGGGAGTTCCGTGAGGAATGAGTTCCCCTTCCACCGAGACCCCGTCTCCCTCCTCGGAAGCAGCAGCTGCTTGTGTGCCCGGCCAGAAACCTCTGCCCTCTGTGTGGTGCTCGGCACAGTGGGCATGCGTTCCCTCCCCTGTGCTGAGCTTTTCCGGACTCCCTTTGGCAGGAGGCGGAGGCCTGACTGCGGCAGCCCCGTGGCCCTCCTGCACTGAGGTGTGGCGTTGCCAGAATGCACCACGAGTGACCCCACTGGTAGACTTTCACGTGGCTTTCTCTCTAGCTGAAAAAGACCTGAACGTATTGCCAGAAACTGTTTTTTGCGTGTTAAGCTGGAGGTGTTTGAACCGTGAAAACACCCAGTGATGACGCTTTGGTTTGTACTCCAGGTGGAGGGAAGCTGTTGCCGCCCGGAAGAAACTGAGGCGCCAGATGCGGGCCTTCCCGGCGGCGCCCTGCTGTGTGGATGTGAACGACCGGCTGAAGGCTCTGGCGCCCAGCGCAGAGTGCCCCATTGCTGCGGAGAACCTGGCCAAGGGCCTCCTGGACCTGGGCCATGCGGGGAAAGTGGGCATCTCCTGCACTAGGTCAGTGCCCAGCCTGCCCAGGGCCTCCAGTTGCCCTAGTTGCCCCAGCCGGCTTTAGAAAGAGCGGGGATTACCTTGTGTGTTTGTGAGGAAGGCAGGTGGAGTCTGGGAAGGTGGAGACGGATGCAGGTTAGTGTGGACGTCCGACTTGCTCTCTCCGCCGTGAGTTCACACGCATTTTCCCCTAAAACACTCATGGTCCTGCTCATCAAGTTTTCCCTGTACTTACCTTTCTCCTCGCCTCCCTGGCTGAAGGACACCATTCCGTGCACACTCGGTGGTGGAGCCAGAGGCCCCCAGGGACCTTGCTCCTCCCCACCGGTCCCCTCTGCTTCTCTGTCGTTCCCGCTGCTGCCTCGCTCACGCTGCCCTCTGTCTTCTGCGGCAGCATTTTAGCAACTCCTGCTCGCACCCTCTGGTCACTCCACTCGCAGGGCTCCCGCCTTGCGTCCCCCAGGCATGGCCCTCCCTTCCTCTCCTCCCATCACCCTGAGCACACCCGGCTCCCTGCTTGGGCTCTTGCTTCAGCTGCCTAACCCTGGTCGTGCCGGGTGTGGCCTCTCTCTTCAGGCCACACCACTGTCACCTCTCAAGGGGGGGGCCTCCCAGTGGGGGCCTGAGGAAGGGGCTGCAGCAGCCCCCATGCTGGGGTCTCCAGGTACACCTCGTCCTCCCCTGGGCTGTCACAGGACAGTCTCTCAGCCATCTCCATGGGTTTCGTTTGGCTCTAACAACAAACTTCATGTGGTTGCCTGTTCTTGGCATCTGTAAGCAGGGTAATCAGGGCGTTCAGGGTTCTCTCTGAGCCATGGTGGCCTCTGCCTGGCCTCCTTGCAGACAGTGCTGCTTCACCTGCATCAGGACGGCTCTCTGCCCCCTCCCTGCCCCTCCAGCGTATCCCCTGCCCCCTAGTCTCCCGTCCACCCCTCCCTCTTTCCACCCTGCATGCTGACAGCTCCTTTCAGCCGAGGCTTCTGCCCTTGTCCCCAACTCAACGTGGGAACTTAACCATCTCCATCTGCCATGCTCAGTGCCTCCTGTGGCTCACAGGGTACCAGCTGCCCTCGCTAGGCTGGCCACCCCAGACTCACCCACCTGTGCTCACCACGTCTGCTACCAGCTCTTCTCTCATAGCCACCTGTCTGTCTGCTGGCTCCTGCCCTCGGCCATACACCTCGGCGTCCTCACCCCACAACAGGGTGGGATCACCTCACGTCTCTAGCTGAGGTCCCTGTGTGCTGCTCCCTGAGTTCCTTGTGGTGGCCCACAGCCACCCTCTGGCTGCCCCCGAGCCTGGGCTCGTTCTGTGTACACGCCAGGCCCACTGCTGACTTGGAACGGCCCCAGAACCATCACGCTGGCTCCCCTTCCTTCCTTCAGGTCTTTGTCACGTATCACCTCTGGCCACCCCGTGTCAGTCCACGGCGTGCCCCGGCGCCTGCCAGGCCGCTCCCTGACAGGCCCTTCTCTGAGAGTGTGCCTCATGGAAGGGAGGGTTTCTGTCTGTTGAGTGCTGATCTCCCGTGCTTGGGGGATCTCGGAAAGACTGCTTAGTATCTGTGGAATGAATGAGTCCTCTGACTACACTGTTTCTTTGTCAGAAAAAGTCCTCTTGGTCTCCGAAGTGTTCCCACTAGGAGACGCTCACTAGCCAATTACTTTGCACTCAGAATATCAGTGAATGCTTCTCAGGTTCATCCCACAGGCACTGAGCAGGCTCAGCAGGCTTAGTGCTGCCCTTTCTTTGTAGGTTACGGTGGCTCAGGAACAAGGTGGAGCGCCAGATGAAGGTCCAGCACTTCCACCAGCGCCTGCTGAGGTCTGACCTGCCCCCGCCGTGTGCGCTCCCCCGCTGTGTGTGCCGCCCTGCCTGGGGCCTGGCACAGTGGCTCACCTGTGGTGCTCTGTCCCTTCTAGTGACGCAGCGTGGGCGCCCCTGGACCTGCCGTCCCTCGTGGCCAAGCACCTCCCTGGGAGACGGGAGCGTGTGTTTTGGAAGCTGGTGCTGATGTTGCCGGATGGAGAAGAGCAGCCCCCAAGGAGCCCTGGCAGGTCAGGACGGGGTCCCTCTGAGGGGCGTGCTGTCGAGCAAGCGGCCTGGGCGGTGGGGCGACTTCTAGAGCGAGGGGCAGCAGGGCGGCGTGCACAAGGGTGTGGGTGTGGGACCCGCGTTCCCCTCACACGCTGGGTGCCCTGACACGTGCTTTCATTTTGCTGCTTAGTCTTGCAGGCTGTTTTTTTGTGGTTTGAAGTTGATGCTTTGGATTGTTCACATTTTTGTTCTGTATACTTGGCAACAGTCTTTGTGCAAAAACATTTAAGACTTGATTTTTGTGTAAAGCTATGCTAAGGTTCACTGGTTTGAGTGCTGTAATTCGTACTCATGGGGAAGACAGTTTAGTTTGTTTGTTATAGTTTAGCTTTTGGCATTAAAAAAAAAATCCAAAAAGTTGACATGGCATTATTTCCTGTAACCAAATTGCTTCCAGAAACCGTACTTTTAAGTCAACTACAGGACATGTTACTTTTCTTCAGATGTAATTCACACGTCATCAATTTCACCCACATAACATGCACGTTCATTGGTTTTAGGGTAGTTGGGCAGTTGTATAACCACCACCACTGTCTATCTGCAGGATATTGTTTCACCTAAAAAGAAACCCCACGCCCACTAGCAGTCACTCTCCTTTCCTTCCTACCCTTGGTCCCGGCAGGCACTGATCTGTTTTCTGTCTCTGTGCCTTTGCCTATTCTGGACATTTCACATAAATGGAACCCAAAAATATGTGGTCTTCTATGACTGGCGTCTTTCACTTAGCCTAAATTTTCTAGGTTCTTTCATGTTGTTGCATGTGTTGTCCTGCATTGTTTTTGTGGCTGAGTACTTGATTATGTGAACATACCACGTTTTATTTCTCTGTTAATCACTTGATGGGCATTTGTGTTGTTTCCACTTTTTGGTTATCATGAACAGTGTTTCTGTGAACATTCGTGTGTAAGTGCGTGCACACGGGTCTGCAGTTCTTGGTTATATACCTAGGAGTGGGATTGCTAGGTTGTATGGTAAACTCTGAAGACCTTTTCTAGTGCTCCAGAAACTTAAATCACTATAGAATAAGTGCCCTCTCCTCGTCCCCAAATACACAACCCAGTAGCACTCCTAACTCCATTTAAATCACACCCTGTTTTTTCCAGGTGCCTCAGCTTCACAGTCAGGTTTGTTGTTGGCGGATCTGCATCTGTGTGGTTCTTCTCTTCGTAGTTCACATTCAGATTAGACTCTTCTTCACGTGTTATTTTCTTTATTCACAGAATTCTAGCAAATTGGTTAAAAGTCAAGTTCATGGGAGGTGATGGCTCAGTGGATGACACAGACCACGATGCTGGTGGGATCCAGACACTCACACTCTTTAACACGCTCAGCAGCAAAGGGGATCGGACAGTTTCCGTCAGTGTGTGTATAAAGGTGAGTGACAGTCACTTTGTGTATTTATTCCCTTGATTTTCTTATTTGCACTCATTCCCACATACCACTGCAATCATGTAACTGCCCTGAAGTGGTTTTGAAACAGTGTGGGAGGCTCAGAAGCAAGTGTCATGTCTGTTCCTCCTCACATCTTGTCAGCATCTCATGGACGCCTGCTTGGTGTGAGACCAAACTAGATTCTCAGGAGTGCAGTGAGTCCTAACTCTCTTGAGTCATGGACCTCTTTGAGAAGTTGATGAAAACCCAGAACCTTCCTGAAAAATGCGTTCTGCACATAATTCAGAAGCTCTGACCCACATGGGCCTCTGGAAATTAACCCAGGAGGGATGAGAGACAACATTACACAAAAATGCAGTGACTTTACAGCTCACGTGGTTTGCCAGCTGCTGACATCTTTGCTTCAATGGCTTCTTGGCACATTAGGTCATACCAAAAGACGGATGGGTTTTAATCCTGTGCAGTTTTCTCTGCCTTGGTCCCAGCTAGTACATAGGTTCAGTATTGGGCATTTCAGGTTAGTTGTTTTGTTTTACATTCCTCAGTTGTCCACAGGTTTGGATTATAAGGTCTTATTTTTGTTCTTTACAGGTGTTTGTACAACACTGAGCTTAACTGATTCCCTGAGAGATTCTTGTTTAATGAGAACCTGTTTCCTCATTAGATTCAAACCTGCATAAGTGAATTTTAGGTTTTACTGTGTGTGTTCAGAAATGAAACCAGATTTGTATTTTATTGACTTAGAAAAAAGAGCAGTGAGGTAGGAAGTGTGGGCTTCAGGGTTGAACAGATCTGCTGTTAATAGCTGCTGCTCCTGCCAGCTCTTTGAGCTGGGCCTGTGCCTTCCACAGTGTGCTGACCACTGCGTCAGAGGCTCGTGAGGGCCGTCTGGGCTGCAGGCTCAGAGCAGGGCTCGGCGGAAGTCGCCCCTCCTGCCATGCCCTGACTGGCAGGCCTCCGCTTCAGGCCTCTCCCCTTCCTAACAGAGTCCCTCCCCTTCGTGGCATACCCGGACATCTGCATGCGACACTGCAGTCCACATCCTCTGTCCTCGGAACTTCTTCAAAGTGTAGTTTGATTATAGGGATTTTGTTTCATTTTTTTCCGTGTTAATACTATTTATCATGTTTCCTAAATGTGAAAGTAATACATGTGTAAAACTTCAAACATATGAGGAAACATAGAGGAAGTATAGAGTTAAGAGCCATCTGTGCTCTCACCATTCAGGGAGAGCAGAAACATCTTGAGGCATATTTTTCCCTTTTTACTATGATGATAAAGTCAGACTTTACCTACAGGACAAGTAATTTGTTCTTTTTGCCTTTATCCTTAAAATGTTAAGCCAAAGTAATACTTTGATGTTGTTGAAAAGTCAGATAGCACCACATGATTTATGATGAGAAATCGCGGCCCCTGCCCCCTCCTGGCCCTTTCCCCAGGATGTCACATGCTGACACTGCCATTTTTCTATCCACTTGAGATGTTCTCTGCTGACTTCTCATTAAAATCAGCGTGTTAGTTATCTATTGCCACATAACAAATTACCTCCACATGTAGCAGCTTTAGATAACAAACATTTGTCACTCATGGTTTCCTGGGGCAGGAGTCCAGGTGCGGCTTAGGTGAGGCCTCTGGCTCAGCACTTGCCACCAGGTAGAGTTCAGGATGTAGGCTGCGGCTCCAGTCTCCTCGGAGAGGTCGCTCTCACTGCGGGCCGGCCGTGGCCAGGGGCTTCCTTGGTTGCCTGCCGCGTGGGCCTCTCCGTGAGGTGGCTCACGACAGGGCAGCCGACCTCCACGAGCTGAACAAGTGTCATAGTCCCTCTGTAACCTCGTCTTAGAAGGGGCTTCCCATCGCTTTTGTTTGACTCTGTATGTCAGCAGTGTGTCCCTGGACCCAGCCCATGCTCCGGGCAGGTGGTTGCGCAAGGACCTCAGCACCAGGAGGTGGGACCGTGGGCGCCGCCGTGGGGCTGCACACTCCCGGGTGAGGCGTGAACTCTGACACCACGGTCCCATGCAGCCTGCCCCGTCTCCCCAGGGTGCTCCCCAGGGTGGCCCCACTTCATATTGTCTCAGTAAGTGGGGTCACACGTTGGTGGCTGGGTGAAAGCTGTTTGTCCCAGAACCAGCAAGTGTCCTGTGGCTACGTGTCTTCATCTTTTGCAGGTAGGGGTTGCCTCATTACCTCACCTTGGTAGTTTTACCTTCATCTCTCATTAACATTCCCCTAAGTGTGCGGCGGGTGGGCTGTATGCGTCTTAGAGCTTTCCAGGTGTTCTGCTGCTTCATTTACCCCTCCCTCTCAGAAGGTGCCATCCTCCTGCTCTCCTCAAGCTGATAGCGTGTCCCGGGGTGTGGCTGCCGCTGAGGCCTCCATGCCAGTAGCACAGTGTGGCTCCTCCACCTCCCACTCTGACCTTGGGCGAGTTTCTTGTGTTTTGGAGTGTCTTCTGGGCATGGGCACTTTTACTGAGGAGGAAACTGAGGCTCAGAGGAGTTACAGTAAATTCCCTCAGGCCACACAGTTGCGCTGTGGTGGCACCAGGCAGAGGTCCCCTTGAGGATGAACTGAGTTTTACGTACGGCCTCAGAGTGATGCCTGACAGTGCTGCTGCTGGTGGCGGCAGCAGTGAGATTTTTTTCTTGGTTTAGTCTTTTGTTTGATGGAGTATGTTTTCCACTTTCCTCGTAAGAAAGATTGCACCGGAGGCAAATTTTCTGAGTCCTTGCCTGTCTGAATATGTTTTGCTCCGCTGTCACCTGGCGTCCAGCATTGCTGTTGAGATGTCAGACTGGGCCTGTTCCTTTCTCTGTGGCCTGGGCTTGTCTCTCTGGAGGCGGCTCTCTGTCCCTGGAGTCTGCTTGAGTGTGCGCTGGCGCCGACTCCCTCCCTCGTCACCTGGGCGTGGTGGGTACCCGCAGGCTGGAGACTCGCTCCACCTCAGGGACGTGCTGGCTTTGTGATGATACCTGCCGTCCTTCTGCTTTTTTCTGTTCTCTCTTCGACTCCTGTTAGACTGTTGTTGACCACATCAGTTGAGCCTCTGCTCCTCTTCATCCTTTCTGTCCCGCTTTCTAATTGTTTTTCATACCGTGTTCTGGGAGACTTCCTTGACTTTATATTCCAGATGTTCTGTGGGCCTTTTATTCCACATAGAGTCCGTTTTTCTTACCCTTACTTGACTTTTTCATATCATCTTGTGACTATTTCTGGACACTAGGATTTTTGCGTGAGTTTTCTTATGTTTCGTGCGTTATCTGTTTACTTTGGGTTTCTATTTCTTTGTTATTCTAGTCTCTCTTTTATGCTGGAGGCTCTCCTCAGACACCTTATCTGAGGCTGCCAATACCTGAGTGAGGCCCTCAAAGGCTGGTCGTAAGCTCTTGTTTGAGGCCAGGTAACTGAAATGGCTGGCCAGCCTTTTTGGGGGACCCCCAAATGTCAGGATCTGGGTGTCTATTCCCTGGGTTATTTGGTTTCTCTGGAAGGACTCTTCTCTTCCTCAGGCGGCTGCTGGCACTCTCAGGATGCCTGCTGTCAAGTCCCCTCCTCTGTGCCTGACAACGCCCTAGTGTCTGGAGCCTCAGGACGGGATGCCGGCCCAGGGCCCAGGGGCAAGGCTGTGCTTACAGGCCACCTGCAGGTGGGTGGACGACCTGTGGGCCACTGCACCATGTCTGACTCTTCCTCCGGGCCGGGAGCCTTGCCCCGGCTCCTGGAGCCGCAGTCCTGGGCACGAGGCCTTCTGCAGCCCTAGCCAGCCTGGTCCTTCCTCACTGTGGCTGCAACCAGTCAGTGTGGCTTCCTCGGCGTCCTTGCCCCAGCGTGATCGTTCTGTCTCTGCACAGCTCTCCAGGGGTGGGTAGGAACCCCTTCTCAGCTGCTGGCTTGCCTCTCCGCTTCCCTGTCATTATGGGCTTACCTGTTTGTACTCTTGTTTAACATAACGGTTAAATTAAGTTGCTCAAACACAATTCCAGCCAGGGGCTGAATTACCTGTGGACCCAACAGTTTCTTGTACTACTTCTTGGCCTCCTGGGGGGAGGCTGGCCCAGAGTGCAGTGAGCATTTGGCTGTGTGCGCTCTGGGGCTGAGGTTCACTGTCTTTTTGTTTAATTAATTTATTTTTTATTGAAACATAGTTGATCTACAATGTTATGTTTGTCTCTGGTGTACGTGGTGTACAGCACAGTGATTCAGTTATACACATGTGTGTGTGTTCTTTCTCGCCGCAGGTGTTGAGCGTGGGCCCCTGTGCTCTGCAGGCGGCCTTGTTGCTCATCGGCAGGCTCGCGGCTCGGGCTGGGAGCACAGCGGGCCGTCTGGGGTCCTTTCTGTTTTGCTGTGCTCTCCTCTGAGCCTCTGAAGCTCCCTTTCCGTCCTGGCTGGTCTACCCGCTGGTGAAGCAGCTTCCCAGCTTGAGGGATTGTTCCCTCCTTCATCACTCTTTCCCCGGGGTGCAGGTCCCGTCCCAGTTCTTTCCATGGGGATTCCTCTTGTCTCCCTGCTAGTATAAGATCCTCTGCCAGAGTGCAGTGGATTTTCTGCTAAAATTGTTCCCTGTGTAGTTGTTTTTGATATATTTGTGGGAGGAGGTGAGCTCCACATCCTTCTATTCCACTGTCCCGAAGCCCCGCCTGATGGCCACTGTTGACCTGTCCCTGGGTGTGTCTATCTTGATGTTCCAGGTGGCCCATGGCGCTCTTAGAGACTGTGTCCTCGATGCGGCAGAGACACAGAAGGAGCTCCTGGGAGCCAGTGGGCTCATGCTGCTGCTTCCGCCCAAAGTGAAGAGCGAGGACATGGCGGAGGAAGACGTGTACTGGCTGTCGGCACTGCTGCAGATCAAGCAGCTCCTGCAGGCCAAGCCCTTCCAGCCTGCGCTTCCGCTGGTGGTTCTTGTGCCTAGTCCGGGAGGGGCCGCCGTGGAGAAGGAAGGGGAAGATGGTTTGTGAAAGCCGCCCCGTTTATGGACCGGCATGTTTACTAAGTGGGTGGAGCCCGGGGTCTGAGAAAGTGAGGTGTCGGGAGTCTCATGACAGCAGCCACTGCAGTGACGGGAGCTGGGCAGGGCGGGGTCAGGGCAGTGAGATGCCTCGGCGTGTGTACAGGCTTGCGAGCAGAAGATAGGTGACCTCCATCTGTTTCTCTTAAAGGTCTAATGCTACAGGATTTGGTTTCAGCTAAGCTGATTTCAGATTATAGTATTATCGAGATCCCTGATTCCATTAATGATTTGCAAGGCACAACTAAGGTAAGTATTT